ATATAATATATAAAATTATACACAAATACCATTACATATATGTTATGGATTATGTTATACATGTAAACCCACGTATGTAATATGGATAAAAGAGCTTTGGATGTGTGACAATATTTCCTGAGGTGCTGGAATAAGTATATTGATTTTAGTAGGGTGATCACACACTCCTGGAGGCAACTTTGAACACTACAGAGGTATTCAATGATTGGATATCAAGGTTAGAGTTCTCCAGGAAAAGGGAAAGGAGTGGGAACTATTATTTTTAACCCAGTTCTGCTGCCATATTTTGAAACAGCACAACCAAAGCCTGGTAAGATGGGGCTATATCCAATGGTGGATTACTCTAGAGGAAATGTACCTGGTTCCAATGTCAAATGTCTGTAGGAGTTCTGCAGCTCCTGTGGGATGCCCCCCACATCGACAGGTGAATTCATCACAAGTGGCCGAGCTCCAGCCTCTGAGAAATGCTCTGCCAGTCCATTCACACTTGCTGACACCCTGGCGCCTCCCTTTTTAATAACGACTTTATTCCGCTTTCCATCACAATAAGCCAGCCCCAGCCAGAGATCCACTTGTGTAAAGATAAGACTGGAATTTAACCGGAAGCTCAACAGTCCACTCTTCAGCTCAGTCTGGATTTCATATTCAAAAGAGAAAAAAAGCTGTATCAAAAGGCTTAAAAAGGCAGTGTAGGCCAGAGCAGAAGGTCAATTTCCTGAAGAAAAGCAAGAAGTTTCCATGAAAGCTCTCAATAAAACTGTTCTAGTTTATCCTAAGAAGGACTGGAGCAACGGATAACGAAATATTTCCCAAGCTCACAATCAACATGAAGAATGCTTCATTCAGTCAAACAGATTCACGCCCAGTGATGATGATGCTACATGGTTTGCCATTATGTAGGCATAAGCTTTTTTGAAACTCAGTTAAAAGATTAAATCCTAGTATAAATGACTGAACAGCTGGGGAGCAGCACAGTATGAACCACGACTCCATTTCTGAGTTCTTAGAAAATGAGAAAATGCTACTTCATAGATCAATTTAATTTGGGGGAAAATATGACAAGACAATAAGAAAATGACATGTCAAGCTCAATGAAGCTTATTTTAAATGGTTAGTGAACTCAATTTCAAATTCGTAAGATATATTTTGATTCAATAGTTCAGCTTTATCCTAAATCTTGAGTGTAATTGCTTCTCTGTGTATATTCTTTTAGATTAATGCACCGCTTTCTAATGTAATCATATTTTACCCAAATTTTCAGAGTAAGGGAAATGCATTCATGTGTTTTCATCAAAGTGTTACCTGATAATTATTTTACTTACCATTTTTATTTGTTTTGAACATGAAATCAGCTGCCATAGGATAGTTGAAAGCTTCAGATCAATAAGTCAAATAAATCAAGTCATATTTGGTTAAAAAAAAACCATGTTTTATATGTAAATATCATCTGTGTGACGTATCCTTGGTAAGCAGACATTACCCTTCATCCAATAAACACTGAGTTCCAACAGTCACACTTAATGTCCAAAGACAACACTTTCCCCATGAATCCTAGCAGTGGAAAAACCAACATGTGGGTGGGGCACTGTTGTTGATAAAGGGGAGAAACGGGGTCCCCTAGAGGGCCCTTAGTCCCATTCATAAAAGAATTTAAGAATGGACTCAAAGAGAAGCTTTAGGAAATTTTATTAGAATTTAAGGAAAAAGTCTCAGGGCAGGGAAACCATAAATCTCAGCAGAAGGAAAAAGCCATAAAAGCCTGAGGGTTTAGAGCCTTCATGGAGATCAAGTGGTTGACAAGCAGGGAGGGAAAGGCAGTTTTAGAGAAAAAGTAAAGAAATACAAGATGTTGGGGCAGCCCGAGGCATTGAGGAACGCGCGTAGAAAAGAGGTATGAAGGAGAAAGAGGAGAGGTGGGCTTCTCTCAGAAAAGTGACCAAAACTTAACAGTCACATGTCTGCAGGTGGCTGCATCAACAACAGCTGCACTAAATGATGGGATTCAGAGCAGGAAGTTTCCCATCTCATCCGTGCACTAAGTGTTCTGCTGTCTCCTTAGCATCATAACTTAAGGTGAACCCACCTTCATAGGGGTGGTCCTATGACCAGGTGACTGATCAGTGACACTGAAAAGTTGGATCCAGGCAAGAGATTTCATTTTCCTGACCAGTCTTTTCCCAGAGGATGTTTGCTGATAGACACTGTAACTGAGAGGATGATGGGATGCCATGTAAATAGGGAACAGACATGCCTCTCACTCCCTCAGAGTCAAGAACCATTTAGAGGGCCTAGGGAGATGGCTCAGTGGGTGAAACACTTGCTGTGTGATCATAGAGACCAGCCTCTGGATCCCCAGAACCAATGTAAAAGTAGGTCAGCTATGGTGGTCTCCTGTAATCCAAGTACTCAGTCTCAGCACTGAGGAGGAAGAGACAGTGGATCTCCAGAGCAAGCTGGATATTAGGCTGGCCTAATTGTCAGACTCTGGATTCAACCAGAGACCCTGCCTCAATAAACAGTGTGGTTCAAGAGAGACACTGAACATCAACCTTGGGTCTCCACATGTACACACAGATATGTGAAACCCCAAACATGTATGTGAGCACAATTCACACATGCTTTCAGACCACACACATACACACACAAAAGAAAGAGTTTGAGTAATGTAAGGTCCGTGGACAATCCTCTAAGCAGGAACATGCACTGTGGAGTGAGGACATTATGTTTAGAGTTTCCAAGGCAGGTGAGAGACAAGCGGCCTCAGCGTTGGGAGGTAAGGAGAGCTTGCTCAGTGTTTAGAGGATAGATTTTGGATAATTTGGGATGACATGAAAAGAGTCCATCTTTCCTTGACTATTTGACACTAAAACTCATTCTGAATTAATCCAGGGTATCACTGATTGTGATGACTTATTGAATCCATCAAAATAAGTAGAATTAATAATGGTGATCTGGAAGATTCTATCTAAGAAGTCTTTTGAAAAGCAACTTGTCAGAACCTGGTGAGTGGTACTGAATGTGTCAGATACACACAATGCACCTAATATTGGCAAATTGTCATGTGCTGTTTGCGTCCGCCGAGAAGCTGGCTCTGGAATCAGGGATGCCCCCACTCCTGCTATATACTCCAGCATGTTTGTCTCAAAATGTCCTCCTCCAGGAACAGTTGGCTTGGGCTGACCTTCAAACCCCGCCCCCATCCCGCATCTATATGACAGGGAGGAGAAAACAGCCATGTAGCCAGAGTCAAAACATCATGCCCCTGGGAACAGTTGGAAGATAAACCATTTCTAACAGAGGCTACTACTGTGTAGCCTATAATATAAAAGTGCCTGCACGGGAAAGAGAAACCAGAAGTTCAACTGTGGAGGGAAAACTAAATCAACAGAAGTCTAGCTGATGCCTTCGTCTCCCTAGTTGGGTTTGGCTGGATATTCTGAGCACCTGATTTGATGATGTTTTGGTATCTGTCTGTCTATCTATCTATCTATCTATCTATCTATCTATCATCTATCTATCTATCATCTATCTATCTATCATCTGTCATCTATCATCATCTATCATCTATCTATCATCTATCTATCTCTATCTATCTATCTATCTATCTATCATCTAT